TGGGAGGAGCGTGTGTGGCTCGAGAGGCCTTGCGTCATCTCAGCGACGATGTCTAGTTTGATCTGTGTCCGGAGCTCAAGGGAGAGGTCAGTGCAGAGGTATAAATTTGAGAGCCATCAGCCCATAAATAAGATTGGAAGTCATGGATCTGAGTGAGATCATCTGGAAATAGCAGAACAGGGGCCCTGGAGGGCGGGTGGAGAAAGGCACAGGGGGGCTGAGAAGGAGCAGAACGTGAAGTGAAGGAAGACCAGGAGACGAAGGTTCAGGAGGGAGGAAGGGGCCAGCCCCCGTGTGGTGCACTGCCCAGCATTCCAGGAAGAGCAGGACTTGGCAATCCCTGAGCCGTCGGGAGCTGAACGAGGGTCAGAAGACCGGATAGGAAGAGCAGACGGCTATAAACTAAGGTGCAGGGCCAGTGGCTACAAGTTGTCCGGAGTGGAACCGTTAGATGGGGCTGACTCAGACTTGTGGTCATACAAAGGAGTGGAAGGACGGGGAGGGAGCTGGTGGGAGGGGTGGGGCCGGGGAAGTGTTTGTGTTAGGAGAGGGAAGGCCATGGGTGTGCACAGATACAAGGAAACCCAGGGAGGGAAAGCGGGGACACGTGGGAGGGTGCATTTCTTGCAAAGGCAAAAGGAGAAGGAACCCAGAGAAGGAGAGACCTGCCTTCTTTGGTGCAGGGAGAACAGAACAGAACAGGCCTGGGCCCCAGGCCTGCGGTTGGAACCTGTGGTGCTGGGAAGATGCGGGGCTCCTGGTCGCAGGCCAGCAGGGCACAGCCAGAACATGAGCTGGAAGGAGTGAGCGGTGGGATTCCAAAGACAAAACCGAACTCATGAGGTAGGCTCTCAGAGAGACGGAGAGAACTTCCTGGGGAGATTGATAAGATTTGTGGACTGTGTTGAGCTCACGTCTGAGGGTTTGGGGTGGCAAATCCGAGAAGCCCATCTGCATTGTTGTACCATGCCACCCCCCACTGTGGGATGCTTATAAGGTTGGAATCAGAGCCGAGGAAGGACACGCGTGTACGTGTGCTCGGGCTGTCATAGCGAAGCCCTACATGCCGATGGCTTGGACAGCAGAAAGTGATTGTCCCAGGCTTCTGGAGCTGAAAGCCATCAAGGTGTCAGCAGCACGGGTTTGTTCTGAGCCCTTCTGCTCAGTTATGGATGGCTGTCCTCTCCTCGCGTCCTCACACTGTGTTCCCTCTGAGTGACTGTGTCACAACCTCCTTACTATAATGATGTCATTGGTATTGCATTGCTCACCCCCCCAATGACCTCCTTAAAGGCCCCGTGTGCAAATACAGTCACATTCTGAGGTGCCAGGATTGGGCTTGGACAGATGGATGTTGGGGGGACACAATTCAGCCCATACAGAAGGAAAGTAGAAGACAGAGAGGCCGCTGGGCGCTGAGAACCTGCAGCGGGCTGATGGGGTTCCTGATGGCGAGACTGCTTCCTGGGGCAGCAGAGCATGTGAGCTGAGAGGCCGAGGATGCAGCCAGCATGCGGGATGCTTAACACCGGGATTCCAGAGGTGGCGGCTCCTGGCAGTGAGAGGTTTCCAGACAAGCTCTTGGGCAGGGCTGCGAGGTTGGACTCAAAGGTAGGGAGACTGATGAGTTGAGAAGATGGCATGGGGTGGTGACCACGTGGGTGTCCAGCGCACTGAGAGGCCAAGTCCAGTGGTGATGGTGAATCAGCTGGGAGCCCAGCTCTTCCCATCGGGGAGTTATCAGGCAGATGGCAGAAGATGGGGGAATAGGTCTAACCGCTCCACCTCTGGGGGAAAAGGAGGAGGACTCCTTTAGAGGGGACAGAGGAGCAAGCCACCTACCCCGCCTGGCCCTGGGGAACGTGAGGGGGAGAGGCTGCAGGGAAGGGGACCCTTAGGGGGAACACCATGCTTCAGCTGACACAGGAAGTAAGTGGAGCCCTTATGGAAGAGGGGAGCCATGCAGGGAAACTGGTCAGACGCTGGGAGGAGCCAGGAAGTGCTCAGGAAGGAGGGAAGGAGGGAGATGAGGACTGAGTGCAAATGGGGACACATGGAGTGGTGAGGGCGGGTGCCAGTGGGCTAATAAGGATGGTGGCCATCACGGCAGGATGGCCTTAGCTCTGGGCAGTGGCTCTCCCAACCTGGCTGAGGTGGCTGGAGCCAGGCTCTTTCTGGCCCACAGCAGTAGGTATTCTGGTCGACCCTGTGGACTGGCTGAGCTCTTTCAGGGTGTCATAAATTCCAGCCCTCTCAGCTGAAGCCCGGCGGTACGCTGCTGAGACCTGGGTACAGGGACAGGGCCTGCCTGGGCCCATTGCCTAAGGCCACTGTCCAACAGGAGGCTTCAGCCACACTGGGCTTTTCTCACTCTGGTGGAGGCCTGGACCATGGA